TCAATAACAGGTTCCTGCTGTAGCAAGAAATACTTCGACGTAATAAGAATGACCTGTTTATTTCGAAGTTTGTATATCAATAAACCCAAGAATCGTTTAATGTGCTCTTTGTTCTTCGCTTTTTTGGCGACTCCATTCTTTTCCTTGCGCGCGATAATAGCGGGCGATTCCAAGCCGGCAAGATGAGCCCGCGGTCCACGTAGCCAATCAAACAGGCTATTGCGCTCCTTATGTTAAAAGAGACCGACATATTTAATTCACTGGCCGATAACAACTGGTGTCACCCATGAGACAAAGCTCTCGAGGTCACAAACTAGGAGCCTAATTAGGGGCAGTACGCTTTTCTCCTTCGGAAACCTGTGTTCATATATGGCACGTCACGTCAGAAATAAGTTCATTTGTAAACAATGCAGTACACTAATAATACTCTTGCTAGAGCTTTTAAATTGCTGTAAGCGATTTCTCTCCCCAAAAAGTAATATCTTGAGTTCCTCTCGGCCCAAAGAAATAACCTGGAACGGGCAGATACTCATAAGTTTAAGAGTGTGTATGCTGACTATCTTTGGATAATTGCTTTCAACATGATAGTTTTATTTGTTTGCACGCATCCCACAAAAATAGAGAACTTTCGTTTCACTTTCAAGAACTGTCAAAAAGGTCATGGCTTATGAATAGTATCGTTTACCTGTTTGCATAAGAAACATTTAACAGACATATAATTAAAACGGATACAGATTTGTGGTGTTTCAGAAAATAGACTTGACCTCTTTTCTCCACCCGCCTCCCTGTGTTCATTTCCACACCTTATTGCCCTTCTCCTTTCTCGTTAAAATTCACCACAGAAGCCGTGAAGAGTGTTTCCTGGGTGCCAAAGGGTTTTTTATTTTTAGCAGCGAAACGACTGACAGTAAGCGGCAAAGCCGCGATCTTTGACGACAGCGTTAGTGGTTTCGCTGCTAAAAAAAAAATAAACCATCTGGCACCCAGGCTATGTAGAGTACTGTAAACTTGAACTTTAGCTGTCAAGCCTAGAGCGCTAATGTAGGTTATTTTGCCTCTTGAAGCCTGCTAAACACTAAGCCACTAGTTTTCAACATTTTTCTGTGGCAATTACTTCGAAATAGATTTGTATATCTTACTTTTAGACCCTAAGACACCAGGGTGTGATGCAGGTCAATGATTTCGTCTTTTGACGCCAGACTTATTAATGAAAGAAAGATTTAAGGTTTGATGACAAGATGATATGGCAAGAATTTCCATATTAGGCT